ATTTATCTGTAGAAATTAAAATGAATTGTATTACTATTATTGAAACTTGAATTTTGACAAAAAGTGGTTTTTTTCATCTTTTGTAAATATATATGTTCATTTCTAAATGTATAGTAAAGATAACTATAAAGCCAGTCAACTATATGTAACATAAGTAAGTAATCATTAATCTTGGACAAGCTAAACTTTTTGTATTTCCTGGTGAGACAGTATGTCTTTTTACTTTGTAGTATAATCTTTACATGCTTCATATAGGGGGTCATCTAGCTCACAGAGACCATATAGGACTACATACAGACAGTGTATATTTTTAATGAGCATTACTAATGAGTATCAATCTTACTCTACGGGATACATTTAGTTTTTAACTTTTCAAACATGGCATATAAGGATGTACCGTTCATTTTGGTTTCTAAGCATACTTCTATAATTTTAGCTTATTTAGGAAAGTATCTTGAATAAAAAATTATTGTATTTATTATATTTGTAATTTATATATTTACTTAGAGAAAGCTTGAATTAGTTGGTATTCTTTAACATATATAAAATCCAAATCATACAATGTTTTCTCTTAATGTTTATAGTGAGCTCTAGAACCTTGACCACATAGCATTCCCTTTTATTTTATATTGCAGGTTGGCATACAAGGAAGCAGTATTGCTTGATGTATAAGAACATGGGTTCTGGAGTCAGAATATCTGGGTTCAAATCCAGGTTCTACTGTTTCTTATATTTGTGACCTTAGACAAGTTAATTAGTCTCTGGGCCTCAGTTTACTAAAGATTAAGGTGATGTGTAGTACTTACCTATTATAAAGTTGTTTTGACTATAAAGTTTTAAAATAAGAGGGATTACAGCAATGCGTGGCAAATAGGAAGCAATAGGGATTAGTGTTTGACATTTTGGCTCAAGAGTCATTGTGCCTGCCTTCAAATCAAGACTCTATCACTGAATAATAATATTAAGGTCTTGAAAATTCTGCTTAACTCTTTCTGAGCTTCAATTCCCATTATCTGTAAAATTGGGTTATAGTGAAGAATCAGCTGGATAATGCTTGTAACTCCTAAGTGTAATGCTTAAAACAAGCAAAGAGAAAAAAAGAGAATGAGAGAGAGAGGTGAAACCAAGAAACAGACTCTTAACTATGGAGAACAGACTGATGCTTACCAGGGAGGTGGGTGGGGGGCGGGTGAAATCAGTGATGGACATTAAGGAGAACGTTTGCTGCGATGCGCACCGGGTGTTGTATGGAGATGTTGCATCACTGTATTGTACACCTGAAACTAATATTACAGTGTATGTTAACTAACTGGAATTTAAATGTTTTTTAAAAAGCCCTTAGCAAATAATAAGCACTCTTAAATATTTCATGTTGCTAATATTGTTATTGTTTGGTCTTGGTTTTATTGTTTATCACATGTGAATTTTACAAATTTGGATTATGGGAAAATAATGCATTAGTGTATTCCAAGTTATTGTTAACTCAAATTTGATTCGGCATATTAAATTCTTCAAATGTGTGATATTAACCTAAACTAATTATCTGTTTGCTGTTAAATAGATTTTGAAGCTCCTCCTTAAAAGGTAATATGCAGTTTGCACTAGCGTTTACTTGCTTGCAGTCGCTAATCTAGAACTGGGGGGAAGAGAAGGTTTATGTACAGATAATTTAATCATAATCCTAGGAATACCTGTGCAGACTGGCTTTGTAAGCAGATTCATAATATAAATAAGATTTTAGGCATAACTTCTTTTTTTAAAGATTTTTATTTGAGAGAGAGAGCAAGCAAGAGAGAGCATGAACAGTGGGGAGGGACAGAAGGAGAGGGAGGAAGCAGGCTCCCTGCTGAACAGAGAGCCCGATGTGGGGCTCCATCCCGGGACCCTGAAATCATGACCTGAGCTGAAAGCAGAGGCTTTAACCCCCTGAGCCACCCAGGTGCCCCAGAACTCCTCCTACTCTGAATCAACAAACAGAGGGTTCCTGGAGGGGTGAGGGATGAAGGGATGGGATAACTGGGTGATACAATGAGCACTGGGTATTATATACAGCTGATGAATCACTGAACTCTACCTCTGAAACACATAATACATTATATGTTAATTACTTGAATTTAAATTAAAAAAAAAAAGAACTCCTCTTGCATTGCCACCAATCACTTCCTACTATATTCTAGTTTCCTAAATGTTTTAAGCAATATAGCTCTGCAAACACAAAATCTTTAGGACGGTATTCAGGTTTCTTTGACATTTTGGATCTTGCTTTTATCTCCAGCCTCAGGTCCTCTGGTATATTCCAGATCTTCCCTGAACACACATTTATTCGTTTATTCATTTACAGATATTTATATAATGTCAACTATGCGGCATTGTGCTAGGTGCTTTGAGAACATGGAGGCCAATAAGACCCATTAGCACTTATAGAATGCCATGCACACCGCTTTTATGTCTTTTACCGTCTCTTTCATCTGTCCCTTCACTGCTTGATAGTCTAACTAATCTTTCATGCTCTACTCAAGTGTTACCTCCTTTCTGCAGCATTTGGAACTTCGTCACGTAGTGTTTCTTTGTGTTCCAGTAATACTTTCTATTCCTGCCTCTATCATAGCACTTACTGTATTATCCTTATTTATAGTTGACTCCCCACCATACCCCCAGTTAAATTTTCAAGTGGGAAGGAGGGAGATGAAAAGAGAAAGACAGAAATAAGGCCTGAGACATGAGATAGGAAGAGGCAAGAAGAGGAGAGAAGGAAAACAGAAGAAGCCGTAGGAGTCGTGGTTAAAAGCACAGACCCTGTAGCCAGACACGGTTTTGAATCCTGACTCTTCCACTAATAAGCTGGGCACATAATTTAATATCTCCATATCACAATTTATAATGAGGATAATAGTCTAATTGTGAATATTTAAGAAGTTAATATACGTGAACTACTTAAAACAGTCACTGTATGTAACATACGGTATATGTATTTGTTGCTATTTTTATTAGCAGTAGTTAGCTTTCTTAAGTGAGGTGAGCTATGTTTTCTCTCATTTAGTCTTCTAAGAGATGGGAGATTTCAGGTTGCATATTATCTATCCCTGTGTGTTCACTTAAATGCATCAGATTTTCAAGTGTATTTTGGACGAGGGCTAAAGGGGGAGCTCCTATACATGTGTATTTACAGTGTAACATTGAATATAAGTTGATTGAGCATTTTGCCTTTTTATACCAGGTCCTATCCTGCTTCTGACTTCTCTAGCTATGAGAATTGCTGAAGATAATTCTTCTGTTTTCATTTTTGCTTCATCCTTCAGGCTTGATCCATAGCACTGTTCTTGGTAATATAGCTTGGATTTTTAAGTTAAAATACTGTTCTCTTTTCTGACAGTTCTCCAGCCTGAAAAATGAGACAGGGGTAAAGTCTGGGCATAACATCTTGTTTCTAGTAGCGTGATCTGTTCACCAACCTGATATTTAGACTGGATTTCTACCATTCAGTCTCTCCCCTTTTCCTTTTACAATGTCACTCTGCTCTGCCCTGTATCACAATATTGTTGATCCAGCCTTGAATAGACTATATAATGTCCTAGAAGGTCTACACCTGGAGTGGCTGGCTTTCACAAATAATGAAAAGCTAGTACATAAAAACAGTTATCATTGGGCTGGTTGGTGAGTTCATTTTAAACAAATGAGTTGTAGATGCTAATTGCTATGGCTCTTCTGTTCAAGGAAGAATCTTGGAGGAGATGACATTTTAGCTGCTACTTGAGCAGTGGGAGAAGAAAGAGTAGATTGTAGGTTGTAGAGGATATTTGAGGCTTAGGATTCATTCTCACCTAATACCCGAGTATTAAATATAAGGCATTAGGCATAAAAAATTTAGTTCCTATTTAACTCCAAATGATTGATATAGTGACAAAGCAAAGACAGAAAGATTGCTGAGAATTAGAGAAGTTGTAGATTTTTTTGTTGTTGTTCTCACTTTGCAGTCTCCATGTATGATTTCATGTATTCTCTTGAGATCAGAGTCTCTTGAGATCAGATTCTCTTGAAAATCTGGTTTATTGTAACAAAGTTCTATTGAGTTTCTGGAATATACAGTGATTTCCTGTCTTTGGACCTTTTTGCACTTGCTGTTCTTCTGCCTGGGATAGTGTTAATTCTTGATAATTCTTAGATTATAATCATGGAGGCCATAATTTTTCAGAAAAGCCTACTGGATCCTTCAACACTGGCTTAAGTGTTTCTGTGGCTCATAGTCCCTGTTCTTCCCTACTCACAGCCTGTACCACACTGCGTTCTAGTGTTTCACCAGCCTGTTCATCGAAGGCAGGACCCGTGTATGTGATAATGCCTGGTGTGTGGCTGCTGGTCCAAAATATTTGTTGATTGAATGAATGAGTGGGATACGGTAGAGAGCAGACTCGGTCATTCCAGGCGACGGGAAGAAAATAAACAACAAAGACAAGGTGTATGGTAATGCATATAGCTGATTCAGAGGCAGTGGGTGGAACCATTTGATTAGAGTATAATACTAGAAAGAGAGGCTGGAGCTTTGGATGCCAAGTTAAGAAGTCCAGAGTTTATTAAATAAAATGGGCCGTTGAAGCTTTTAGAGATAAGAATAATAATATATGTTCGTAAAATTTGGTTAAATAAGATACCTGTGTGTGGGAAATAATTTTTTCTAATTCTTGTACTAAAATTTTTAATTTTAATACTCTTAAGTGGGCTAGGTTTGTAATTGTCTATTTTATAAACTCCTGTATTATAAGATTGCTCCAACAGAAATTATACAGAAAATTTTAGGTTTGAGTAAGTACTTCTGAGTGAATTGAACAGCTCATTAAACTGTGCCATTTGTTTTTCTTATAAACCTATGTAAACTATGACAATTAAAAATTATAATTCAACTTAGGCAGTAATCTAACATATGTGTGGGGGTTTCCTTCTTCTTATCTGTAGCTTAAAGAAGAATAAATGCTTACAGCTGTGACTTTTTTTTCTCTAGTATCTCCAGAGGCAGTTGGATTTTTGTCAGCTGTTGGGGTGTTTATTATCTTGATGCTGCTCCTTTTTCTCTATATTAATAAGAAGTTCTGTTTTGAAAATGTTGGCGGGTTTCCAGATCTTGGTTCAGGATACAGTACAAGGAAGAACTCACAAGATAAAATTTGTAAGTATCATCACTGCTTTTCTTATTTGTTCTTTTTATCTATACCATTCTGTTATTTTTTTAAACATATATTGTAAGGTTGGTTTTGACATACTATAAAGTAACATTCGAGCCACTTTTCTGTGAGAGTAAAAAAAAAATTCTATTGAGTAAATTATGTCAGTTATCTTTGTTATTCACGAATTTCTAATATATCACATAAAGATGAACTGCATGCTATCAGAAAACCACATTTTTATTTTTCATACATAATGTATGCTTTTGAGCCTGTAGTATGAGTAGATATGCTTTAAGAAGGAAGTATCTTTCTGCTCTATACAGCTTAAATCTTACTGTCCAAGTAACTCTCTGAAGAGCTTTCCCCCATATTCCCATAGAAGGCTTTGAAAAGTATTCACCCTTTTTCTTTACCTCCTATCGAATTCTCAGCTGATGGATAATTTTATTGTTTAGAGAAAGTGTACAGATAAAGTCTGATTGTAAAAATTAGTGTTCCTTTCCCTCTGTTGGTACCATAGGCATTATATCACTTTTTGTCACTTAAAACTACAAGAGACTAGAAGACACGAGGCCTATAATCTTGTTCTTTCTTCCATGAAAATTATTCCGTGGAGTTAATTTTTTTATATTATGATAAAAGTTCTTTATTAGCTCTTTCCAAAGATTGGCTTATATAATTTGTAAAAATATATTATATATTATATATATAAATGATAGCAGAAGCAAGCTGAGAATTATAAAGGTGAGGTGTTAATTTAGAACAGTATTTCGAGCATTAGCAGAAAAACCTTGCTCTTCTTGTTTATGTTGAAGAGATTTTTTTCTCTTATTTCTGGTAACTTAAAAAGTGATAACATTACCATTTATAAAAATCTGTGGGTTATTGAATTACATCTGTAACTTCTGCATCAGGAAAGAGTAGTACTTTTGTGATTTTGTTGGAAGTTTGAGCATTTCTCATACTTTAGCTTCTTGATCATTTGTGTAGAGTTGAACTGGTTACAGGTATCTCTTTTGGCAGCCTCCAGGAATCCCCTTGTTCAGCTTTTCTGGTTTTTCTCTGGTCTAATAACCCCTTTACACCCTTAAAAATTATTGAACACTCCAAAGAACCTTTGTTTATGTGAGTTAAATCTATTGTTAAAGTACCATATTAGAAGTTAAAACTGAGAACATTTAAAAATATTCTTAACAATTTATTGGTCTTAAAAAAACCCCAATAACTTGTTGTGATGAGCACTGGGTGTTACATGTAAGTGATGGATCACTAAAATTCGATTCCTGAAACCAGTAGTACCCTATATGTTAACTAACTAGAATGTAAATAAGAACTTGGAACAGAAAAATCCACAGAAACCCCAATAAGCCTATTACATACATGTTAAAAATAAGTAACATTTTTTAACTTAAAAAACTATATATTTTTTACACCCCCCCCACCAAAAATGGTGAGAAGAGTGCCATTGTTTTATATTTTCTACAAATCCCTTTAATGACTGACAAAGAAGAACCAGCTGTTATTCTCATGTCTGCTTCTGCATTCAATCTGCCATATAGCCTCTGGAAAACTCCAGTGTTCATTTATGAGCAAATGAAAGTAAAAAAGTTAAACATCCCCTCACTGTTACTATAAAAATAGTTTTGACCTTGAAGATCCTTTGGAAAGGTTTTGGGAACCTTTGTACTTTTTCTAAGCCTTTTTTTTTTTCACTTATGAAATAAGAAGAATAATATTTACCTCCTAGAGTTACTGTGAGAACAGGTATGATACAACTTGTAAATCACAATGCCTTGTATCCAGTAGCCACTCGGCAGGTGACCCCCTGCTCTTTTTCTGTCCTGACCTCTGCACAGATTGCTCATTTTCCCTTTAATAGTTGTCTTAATTTGAAATGATATTGGTAGTTTGTTAGTAATATAGGGTAGTTCCCCTACATAGACTATTAATAAATAAACCAAAAGTTCATAATAAAAATCCTTTTTATACTTCTTCTTGCAGGTATAGAATAAAAAACCAATAGTATTTGAGGGGAAAATATTGTTTTGCGGCTGGTATGATAGCTATGGAGAGGGAAAAAATGTCATTACATGTAAGCCAAGTGGTTTGATTTTTTTTTTTTTTTTTTGGAAGAGTTTTTGCCTCGACGTATTTCTTTCAATGCATAATGCATTTACAGAAAGATTAAAAACCACAATGCAAAATAATAATATCAAGCTCATGAGTAACAACATTTAAGTACATTTTAAATTCAAATTCCTAAGCGGTTGATATTTTGAGAAGAGAAAATTCCATTATTGCATCTGTTAGGAATAAGGAATTAGAAAATGGCATTTTTCAAAACTTTCCAGCAGAATCTGCCTTCAGTGTCTTCTCTGGTGGACACAATCGGTAATGCTATAGAAGATTTAACCACTGCTGTTGGGGAAGTCAGCTACGCTTTAACTGACTCGGTTGCTGAACAGGTAACAAGTATGATCAATGGCTTTCGCCCAGAAGAAGAAAGCTCTGCAGCAGCAGAAGCAGAAGTAGCAGAGACCCCTCAACAAGCAAGTACCAGGTCACCAGAACTCCCCAAAGACACTAACTGTCAGAAAACAGAGTCCAGTTTAGAGCACAGAGCAAATCGAATCAGTTGCTACAATACTTCAGTTTCACAAAAGCAAGATCACAGAATGAATGAAGAAAGAGGAGTCAGACATATTAATGACAGGCAACAGACTCTATCAAAATATCAAGAAAGCAAGAGTGCTGGTGGTGATTCTTTGTTGAAAGGTCCCCTGAGTGATGGTGGGATATCAGTTATCAAACAGAATGCAAGGGCTGGATCGGCTTGTCAAGAACTTGAACATACTGACAGATGTAAAAAAATTGGATTGGGAATGCCCAATAAGGGTAAGAGTGACTTAAAAGAGGTAAGATATCAAGAAATGAAAGAAGATCATTTAAAGAAGGCTGAAAAACATATTAAAAGTAAAGGATCTAAAGGGAGTGAGTGGTCAGGAAAGGAGTGTTCTCCAAAAGATATTTTGGCAAGCAACAGACATAGCATACAGAAACCTGTTATGAAAGAAAGCACACATCCAGCACCATCAGCTGATTCTAAAGAGAAGTTACACGGAAAAACCAAAGAACAGGAAAGTCCAGCAGTGTGCTACAAAATGAAAGGAGACATAAAAACAAAGAAAAATGAAGCCATTTCTGCCCACAAAGGAACAGCAAAGAGTAAAGATGAAAAATATTCTAAGATAATTCCAGGAAAAGGTGAGGTCTCCTAGTGTGGGTTTGAGTGATAAACTTTTCTCTTGATTTTTTAAATTAAGAACACATCCAAATTTCCAAACTTTCCTATACAAGTCTATCTAATTTAAGATTTTCTTGAATCCTCTTACCGGGAGACACTTTTAAGGTCATTTATTTTTTTTCTGACCATCATTTTGAAAGCAGTGATGTTCTTTATACACTGCTAAGTAAAGTATTGGCCCTGGTCCCTGCATTATTTGGCCAATTTTTCAGTGGCCCTAATTTTTCTTCATGATTGTTTATTCAACAACCAGAAACCCCATAATTTTAAGTAGTGCACATTCTCTAGTTGGAGTGTATTTAGTGTGCTGTAGTTGAATTTTAAAATTTTCTATTTTTGTGACTAACCCCTGAGACCTTTATACTATGTTGCCCTTGGAATCTATCCCAACAAGAATCTGTATCAAGTGTTTTTTATTTTTCCTTTAGAGCAATAGAAATTTATTTTATTTTATTCATTTATTTTTAAAGATTTTATTTATTCACTTGAGAGAGAGAGAGAGAGCGTGAGCAGGGGGAGGAGCAGAGGGAGAGGGACAAGCAGACTCCGTGCTGAGCTCAGAGCCCAATGAGGGGCTCCATCTCCTGACTCAGACCATGATCTGAACGGAAATCACAAGTCAGACAGACACTCAACTGACTGAGCCACCCAGGCGCCCCTAGAGTTTATTTTATTGAACAGCATGCTTCAGGATAGGTGTCTATTCATTTAGCCACATATTAAGAATTTTACATCAGTTCTGTATCTACAATGAGTATATGTGAACAATCTGTAATTTTTCACGAGTTCTTTATGTAGAATTAAGATTCCAACTAATCATTTACAGTTTTTAACGGCAGGATTTGTGACAGTTTTCAAAACATTGAGCCAACAGTTAGTTGGTTTGGCTACAGAATGGCTTTTACTGCTGGTGATTACTTCCGGAAATCCTTTAGTCATTTCTGTCTGTTGCTCATCTGGTCACAAGGCCAAAAGTACACTGGCTTTTATTTAAAAATGTGTATATCTGACATTTTTCTATACATTTAGATTCTCATAAAAATAACAAAGATCTGAGTGACAATAGAAATGAAGAAGACTTTGAGTTCTGCTGTGTGAATACATTATAATCAGGATCTGCTACTTATCAATTATATGAATGATTTTTAGATGATATCATAGAGGCTGATCCAGAATGGATAGCCTAATTAAAAAGGAAAGCCAGTTTTTGGAAATATGTCCCTTTTGGAGTCTTTTCAGTTATCAAGTTCAGTAGTTTTGGGTGGCCTTGGTTTAGTTTAGTTAGCCTTATTAATTGAAATAGCAAAAATAAAGTAGAATACATATGTTATTCAGAAAATACCAGAATAGACAGTAGTCATAAGTGCTACATACATAGCAGTATACAGTTAATTTTGTTTTGATTTGTTTTCATTCAGAAGCATGCTCGTCCTAGAAAACCCAAGTATCTCAGGCATTATAGATTATAGTCCAGACTAAATGTAAACATATTATGTTCTAGAAATCATTTGAAAATCATTTGACCTGTGGATTACTTCTTCATAGAGCTGAGCTGTAATGCTAATTACTTAGTAGTAATATAGGTATTACTAGTACCTGTGTTCTAGGTTCGTTCACAGAGCCTATATGGTATAGAAAGAGAAGGAAGAGTTCCCTTCCACATTTCTGAATGCAGGACTACCGTAGGTAATATTTTGTAATAGGTGAAGTGGGATGGCAGAATTTCTAGTGAGCCCCCTCAGAGCTCTCCTGCTGCCAGAGACCACCACCGTGGTAGCCCACAAAGTGCTAAGCTCTCACGGGGCCGGTCAGAGGGCCCAGGTTCTAGTCCAGATCTGCCGTCACCCCAGCGCCAACTAATGGCACTCTCTGCCATGATGGGAAAGTTCCAGGTATTCCTTGTGGTAACCACTAGCCACACGCACATACTAAGCACTTGAAATGGAGCCAGCAGCACTGGGGAAACTGGGTTTTAAATTATTTTGTTTTAAATCAGATAGCTGCGTGTGGCTGGTGGCTACATACTGGGTTGTGCAGAATAGGACACTGGTCGTAGTTTTACCTCCTCATGGCTTTTTCTTACTGAATTAAAAAGGAGGACCTACACTAGTGATGTCCAAGTTCCCTTCATTCTGACTCTAAACATATCATTTCTCTCCCATATTTTTAAATTACTTAGTCTGTGTCTCCCCACCTGAATTTCAGACCTTGATTCCTTTCTTGCAGATGATTTCAAGTGTTTATAAAGAAAATAATATCTTGACAGAACTAATAAATTCTACCTGCTGTGGTCTCTTTATCTTTCCAGAGTTGTTTTATTATTCTGAGAAGGCTCATATTAGGCTAAATGAATTTCAACATAGTGCAGTTTCAAAATTTTTACTTTAAAAAAATGGTAGCAACTAGTTACTATTATACTAGTTAACTATTATTTTAAGAATTATACAAGTTTTCTATGTCCTGAAAAATTTATTTGAAATTTAGTTATACTTATGTAAAATTTTCTTAGTAATTCTCCCTTTCACAGAAAATAAGTGTGTATCCTTCCCCATATTTTTGTATGTGCCTACGAGCATCCACCACAAGTGTGTGTGTATATTGCATGTAGGGGTGTGTGTGGTGTGTTTAAATGAGAACATAGTATGCCTTCTGTCTCATAACCTTCTCTTTTCCCGTAACGTAATGTTGTAGCTGCTGTTCCCTGTGAGCACCTGTGAGTTCACCTCCTCATTTGTAGTGATTGCATACTCTGTCGTTGCCTGGATACATCACCGCGTTCTTAACTGAGGCCCAGCGATGGATGTTTAGATTATATTTTATTTTTGTTTTCTGCTATCTAGCACAGTGCAGTGAATTGTCTGAAATACATATCCTTGCTCACCTGTTTTTAATTATTTTCTTAGGCCGAATTCTTGGAAGGAATTGGTAAATTCCTAGAAATGAATCACAGACTGTGCAGATTTAAAGTTTGATGTGTATTGCCAGATTGCTCTCTAGAAGTGTACCAGTGATAGTTCTACCAGTAGTATATGTCTGCCCATTTCTCTGTTCTCCTAGAACTAAGCATTATCATTTTTGAAAATTTGGACCCAGATGATAACTAAAATGTCTCTAGTCACATTCTAGTTTGAATCAGGTCCATATGTACTGGCGATAGTTCTAAGTCTCTTTGTGTGCTACTGATCCTTTAAAAAATAATTGTGTGAGATAACAAGTTCTGTTATCTCCTTTATCTGTAACTTGGTTGGAAAATCCCTGTGATGAACATCTTTTTATAATTAGAATATATAAATTGATCTTTTTCTATTAAAAATATGAAAATCTAAAACTTTTGGGCTTCTTAAATGAAAAAATTATGTTTATTTAAAGTTGAAAATTCGCATTGGGTATGTATCTGTATATTCATGTGTATATGGATATATATGACATATATCTCTGTGTGTGTGTTTGTGTGTGTGTGTATCAAATTTGTCATACTTTATTGTATTAAAATTTCGATTTGTTCTCCTGTCATTCCAAATAGATAATTCCTACATGGACAAAGATGAGCACGGTTCGTCCTCTGAGAGTGAAGATGAGGCACTGGGTAAATATCATGAGGCCTTGTCCAGAACACACAATTCCAGACTACCATTGGCAGATTCGAGACAAAAGAACTATGCTTGGGAAACAAGACAAAAGTACAGTCCTCTGTCTGCGGAATATGATGGCTACAGTAGTGAAGCATCAATAGACGAAGGTAACACAGATTACTTATTTTATTTTTTTAGATCACACACTATAGTATTAGATTATTTGTACCCAAAATTCTAGCCATCTGTGGCTGTGTGATAAACAAGAGATAAACAGAGTCACATTTCTATTAATATAATTTAGCAAAATTCAGATCTTTGGACTGAAGCCAAAACCCCAAACCCCTAAAAGTAAAACACCAAAAAATGTACATACCATAGTAATTCTGTTTCTCTTTACACAATGTAAGAGTGAGGTAGAAGATGGAAGTCTGATGTTCTCTCACTTTGGAATCAGTCTCCAAACACCTGGCATAGGAACTGGCAGAGTCTAGGTCTCTTATAGTGTTAAACTTGACTCTGGTGTGTCAGTGTATGCTTTTTCATTCAGTGTGGCCCCAAACAGAAGCCAGATACTTCATGTGGCACACAGCAGGAGGAATGGTGATCTGTTCTGTGGAGGAAGAAAGTGTCCAGGATGGATTGAGAGCTCATACTGTATTACACTTTGCTTTAAGGGTGACTCTAGGAAATTTTAAGGATAACTTTGTCTCTAATTGATCTTTGCTTCATGTACTGACAATTGACTTAAAACTCAGTCTGTATACAAGATATGTGTCCACTCTAACATGTTTTTACATCTTTCTATAAGGGAAATTAATTGCTATTAATTAAGGCATATTTATTTCCATGTTTTAGGTAGGTTGCTCACATGCTTGATAGAATGTATGAGTACTCCTAGTAATTATTATCTTTATACTCAGGTATGAAGAAGGAAACAATATATCTTAGACAGCAATCTTTTATTACATCGAACACAAACTGTCCTTCATTTTATAGCCATGGTTTGTGTTTAAGGGTCTTATAACTATTGATTACTTAAAGTCTTACCCCAGCTCGTAGAGTTGTCAAAGGAGCTAAGTCATCTTTTTGTTTTTTTAATTTGGCTTAAGGCTAGCTAATGACTGAGGTATGTACCTCCTTTTTATTTCTACTAGGACACAATTTATAATAAGAAATTAATCAAATGCTGAGTAATTACTATATAGGAAACTTATTATGAGATGGTGGGGAAGAAATAAAAAATGTTAGACTCTACGCTCAAATATACCTTTCTAATACTAGAGAAAATAAAACACGTGTTTACAAAGATAACTGAGTGATGTGAAGCAGTAAAGCCAGTCTCCAGCCCATGTCCACCCCTTCCACCCGGCATGTTAATAGTAGAGCTGCAAGAGAATGGGTTTTGAACCTGATCCTTGTTTACATTCTGGCTCTGGGACTTAACATACTGACTTAACATATTAGCTACAAGCCTTGGGCAGGATAGTTAATGGTTTTCCGATTTGTTTCATTGTCTCTAAAATGTGGATCATACCTTCCTGATAGGGTTGTCATGAACATTACATGGTATACGTGGTAGTTTTTAGCAAAATTCTGGCCCCTGTGGGCGAGTGACCAGTAAATGGTCACTGTGGCTAAGGGTGGTGGATACAGTGGTGGTGATGAGCGTGAGCGGCCGTGAACAAGGCCTGCACTTGTCATCTGTGACCCTGGACACTTTCCTTTTTGCAGCTTCGGTTTAGGGTTTTTATTTTTTCCTCCTCACTGCTTCTTCCCCCTCACTCCCTGCACTTCTGTGCTGTCTTGATTGCTTCCCATGGTTCTGTTACTCTAGCACGGCTCTGTAGTCTGGGAGAAGAGCAGTGAGGAGAGAAGCATAACCTCACTAGTTTTTTTTTTTTTTTTCCTTGCTCTAAGCTCTGGAACTGGGACCGATGTCCTGGAGTCACCATCTCTTTTCATTTTACCTATATATTTAGGACCCATCTCTACTTTCCTACTGTTTCTACTCTCTATTAATTGATAAAGCACCCAGGCTAGATTGACTTTAGGCATTCTGAAATTAGATTTATTTCATAAACATTTGTCGAAAGCTTTCCTGTGCCATACTAGATACTGTGTATCTAAAGATGGATAAAACAAGCTTGTTTCAAAGAATCCACAGGCTAGAGGAGGAAGACCATAGACAATATGTGTGATACAATATGGTAAGAGGTCTATTAGTTTCATGAACAAAGTGCTATAGACATTCAGAGATGGAGGTGGCTCTGTTGTTTGGGAGGTGGGGAAATGGGGAAGTCTAATGTAGTCTTCACAGAGTAGGTAAACTGGACTTGAGTAAGAACTGTTTCAACAGCTATGGAATAGTGATTGCATGAAAGCAAATGAGAGTGTATTTTAGTGTCTTTAGCTTAGGATCTGTGTTTGGAGAATGGGTAGGTGATGGGTTTGAATACCATGTTCAGGAGTTTATTGTCTTATAGGAAATACAGAGTCCTGTAAGATTTTTAAACTGGACGATATGGCACTTTTAGAAATGTATTTAAGAAAGATTATTTAACTATTGTAACGGAAAATGAATTGAGGTACTAGAGGTAGAAAGAATCAGTTAGATAAACAATGATGAGATCTTCATTGGAAGTGAGTTTGGAGACACAGATTTCATAAATTTTAAGATGGTCTCAATATATCTTGAATGATTGAATGTGTGCAGTGAGTAAAGAATCAGGATTTTTAATTAGTTCAGAGTATTAGGGAAGTAAGTTTGTGTGGGAAGAGGTAATTCAGTCTCCATCATGCTGAATCAGAAATGTCTAGAACATCCAGATGGAGATGGATATCCTTGTTGTTAAAATGCTGTCATTGAGCTTTAGGATGGAGAGATAACCAAGTGATAATGTAAGAAAACAGTAGAATAGGAGGATAGTTTTGTATCATATGTTATTGCTTATTGAAAAGTCAAAGCTGCTTTGAGCTCAAAATAGATTCAGTGAAATGGGGTAAGAAAGGAGAATTTGATTGGAGGATGAGACTGATTCAGAGTTCACGGTCTTAGGTAAAAGTAATTTCGAGTGATAGTAAATTCTTAACATGCCCCCTCACAAAGATGCAGAAGTACATATGAGATTCTTTTTTTTTTTTAATTTTTAATTTTTTTATAAACATATAATGTATTTTTATCCCCAGGGGTATAGGTCTGTGAATCGCCAGGTTTACACACTTCACAGCACTCACCATAGCACATACCCTCCCCAATGTCCATAACCCCACCCCCCTCTCCCAAACCCCCTCCCCCC